CTAATGCAAAAGGTCAGATGCATGTTTGTTACAGTTTGTAGCCTAAACTGCTGAACGGATCGCGATGAAATTTAGCATAGATTCAGAATTTAAAAGAACACATGGGTTACTTTGAAATAGTTACGGTTCCCGTGGGATACATTGATTCTGTTTTTTCACATTTACTCGATAATTCTGAATACGTCTTACTGTAATTTGGCACAGATATACTACAAAGCCTGGAGTAACATATGGGATACTATTCAGTCTGAAACGATCAGGTTCCCGAGGGATAAACAGTTTTTTGTTTTTCGTTTTAATACTGTGCGGACGAAGTCGCAGCCAACAACTAGTCTATAATAAACGATACAACGGGAAAGGCATGAATATGACAGAAATGACAAGTGACGCATGGATTTTGCCCTTAAACGAAACGGGGACGGATTAAGTAAATGACTAGTGTTATTCACAATATACATGTAATTAAATTTTAATTACATCAATAAAGTACTGAACTTCAAAGTAAATCACTTGAATCCGCAAGTCCGTAGACGATCAAACACTGCCCATTGGATCGTGAACGTAGGATAAAGGGTTTAATAGAACCTTACAAGATGAGAGGCGCCTTTGTTATACCTTTGTACTATAATTGTAGATTTAATACGTCTTTACATTACACAAAATACACAAAAAACTAAACATTCTCAAAAAAAACAGTACACTAAAAAGTAACGAAATAATTCCTCGAAAATAGTAAACCACCCTTATTGTAGCTGTTATGTCTATATTGTACAATTATTATTACTTTGATGTCGGTGTCAGCCAATGTATGCAGTGATATTTCTACGTAAGGGTTTCCACATTTTTACCATAAAAATTGACAATTGAAAGTATAGTAACGTTTAAGTAATGAATCTACATTGACTGACACCGACTTCTAAGTAATGTGTAATAGTCTATACTAAGATTATAAATATTGAAGTAACTCAAAAACTATAAGGCTGATTTTAAATATTCTTTTACAATTAGAAAGATATTTTATCTGTAATATAGGCTATGTTTTAATTTCACGCGGACGAAGTCGCGAGTAACAGCCAGTTAATATCTTTTTCATACACGCTTCTCTACTTTTTGTACGAACATCAAAGACAAGAGACAGTTCTATCGTTAAGAGTGGTTGATGCCTTGAGCAGCTTTGAGACTCGTTTAGTGTCGGAAATAGGTCACCACGGAATTACTATTTTAAGTGTTCACATACTTAGGTACTAATGTTCGTTATATGTGTAGGAAATATTAATAATAGTATAATAATAAATAAATTATAATTACATGTTTTATTTTTATTTTTAAATTATATTTCTTGGGCTAAATGTGACATGATAAAGAAGGGAGTGATGACTGAGATGAGGGATGATAGAATGCTTTGGAGGACGAAAATCCGGCGCGGCGACCCTACGGGAGTAGGATAAGGCAGGGGAGATGATGATGATTTCTTGGGCTAAAGTTAATATTTGTTTCTGTACATTAATCATACTAATATTATAAATGCGAAAGTTTAGATGGATGGATGGATGTTTTTAGAGTTTGTAGTCTAAATGGCTTAACGAATTTCGATGAAATTTGGTATAGATGAAGAATATAGTCTGGAAGAAAACATAGGCTATTCACTTTTGTTCTTTTTATTTCCACGCGGACAGAGTCGCGGGCGATAGGTAGTGTTTTCTATATTTTTAATTGCTTCGACTTTTAAGAATAGTAATTAAAGAGTGTTGAACTTATTTGAAGTTGATATTGATGGCTCGTTGGTAAAAATATAAAATTATTTAAAATAAGCTAAATGAAATATCGCGATGAGTTAAAGCAAAATGTTTAATCAAATTTTTTGATTGAAAAACTCAATAGGCTTTATAATTTACCGACCTTCTAAGCATCGATTCAAGTCAACTAGTTTACTAATTATTGATTTTTAATAAGTATTAGATTTTCCGTTTTCATGTAATTTAATTAATAGTAATAAACAATTAAAAACACTATTTTACATTTAAAAAATTGTCCTTCGTCATGCTGAAAAAAATTAAAAGTATGTGATTTCCCGCAACGTAGTGCCATCTCTTGAAAGATCCCCGCATATAAATTATTTAACATCATTTTAGTTAACTTCTTGTCGTATAGATGGCGGTAAAATTAATGCGCTTTATAAAAAGAAACAAACGTTGAATAGTTCTAAGATCTTTCAGATGTAACTGTTTATCGGTCACAATATGACTAATATTTTTTGTTACTCTTTCCTTAAGAAGGCAAACTGTAGCAAGACGACAGTATAGTCAGTGATGAGAGCTCCCAGCCGGAGTGGCATCGCCGCGTCCACGACAATTACGCCACAGATGCTTAGCTTTGTGAAGTTTATGCGATGCAAGCGACTTATGTTCTTGAAGAATCTACGAGATCGACCTGAAAATTAAATTTCAATTAAGGATAGTTATGCTAGGTTTCTGAAATTACCATTTATTTTATTATTACGTAGTGATTTATTAGTAATAAGTTAAAAAGTATTTCATTAGTTATCCAACCAAATATACTAAGGAATCTTTAAAAGTAGCTGGGAAACCGGTCATTAGTAAGGTATAGCTGTTAATGCCGTACCAGGGTATTTATATTATATACAACTGTACTTGTTTGTTATGCACATTTTACTACAAAATGATTGAGTAAATTTAATAAAATAACTTACGACATGTATAATAATTCATATAAGCGACTACAACTATCTGAGCGGATCTAATTCTTTTATATAACATTTCGCAAATAAAACAGAACATAGTTTCTGTTACCACAGCCTTCGAGATCCAGACTATTACACCGAAACCATGGCTCATTATTGACACGGATTGTATCTGTGAAAATATACAGACGTATTAATAACCTCCTTTTGTAGATACTGTTAAAAAACGCGTTATAAGTAGTGTCTTCAAATATTAAATTACTGCACTCAATATCGTTCAGCAACACGACCATACAAAAGACAGATGTCAATTGGAAGTTATTCCGCCTACATGATGAGTGTGCGTTCTAAATACTACTCTAATTCGCTTTCAAAACCGCTTCTTATAAGAACTTTTTTTTTATCATAGACGACAAACGAGTAAGCAGTGACCTCAATTCACGGAAAAAGCGAAGCGAGTACTGTCCATAGATATCTGCAATCACAGATGCGTTACCCAACCTAAACCAATTGCTTACGGAACAGGGTTTCCTTTTCCTACGCGTCTCCTCCACTATCAAATCCACTTCCTTTTCTTATCATTTGTAGGGGATTAAATTTAGGCTTCCGGCACTCAGACAAAACGCGTATGCTTCCACTTGATGCCTGTTGTGTGGTCATGGTATAGCATGAGGTGAGCAGGTCAATATTTGTAACAAATGTTTTTTACGACTGTTAACTATAGTATAGGGCAAATTCCTTCTTTTAATACGTATTTGCAGTTCTTAATATCCCACTTTACTGCTCAAATATGTTAATCAAGGGCACAGAAATGAATTTAGTTTTGACTGATATGGAATTAGAAATTACCTTTTCGTTTTCCGTCATCAAAATTAATATTTCAATATATGTCATTGATTGTATAAATACTATCACGAAATGCAGTAATATCTGAAAAAACAACATATATTAATCTATACAATCTATACTATTATAATAAAGCGTAAACACACATTTCTTTGTTGCCTAAGATGTCAGCAATTACAGCATATCTTTGAATAATTCTTTCTTTAATGAATTGCCCTACACTTACGTCATGCTTTAGGCTATATATTTTCACGACATTAAACTTAGGGGGTAAACTTTTTAGATAAAAACCCTAATGTGGGAAAGAGACCATAAGTTGTTGCTAATATTAAGAAAGCAAGGTTGCTAAGGTTTGTCATGTCATGTCATTTTGACATTTGCAATTGATAATTTTACAAATGTGAACAATAAAATGAAATTCTTATAATTTTATGCGGATGAAGTCGCATGGGAATAGCTAGTACAAAATAGAAACACAACGAAGGGTTTTGTTAATCGTGTTTCGATATTTTAACTGTAAACTCGCAATGTTACTAACCGCAAATTGTGCTGCTTTTCTAACCAATAGAAGAGCATCTAATAACTCTTCGTACACTTTAAACAGCATTTCCACTAGCGTTATACCAATATCGTCTTGCAGCACATTAGGGTTCTTTTCGTCTACTTGTATGATTTCAGCCCATCTAACCATCTTACACGCCAAATAATAAACAAAGAAAATACAATACATCAACTCGATATCAAAAATTAAAGATGTAACTATAAACACTCCTCGAATCCAATCCCATAACGGATCATAAATAAGTTTTAAAGTAACAAATAATACATAAATAAATAATAATAAAATACAATTAAATCGAATAAAGAGTTTTATTTTCTTTGTATCTTTAGCATTGTAAAGATATTTATCAATCGTTTGAAGTTTTAATAAAAGTTGAACATTAAATTTACTGTTAACAATATTAAAAAAACAAAGAATCGTATAATTAATTGTATATTGTGAATATGCTATCACATATCCATAGAAAATATAAACATTATCATACATATCTATCAGAGAAAGTAAAGTTGATATCAATAAGAAATAAGCTACAAACAACCCTATTACTAAATTAATAATATATTTCTTTGTATTGGGATAGATTTTTTCATCAACTACATGAAATTTTCGCAAGAGAAATATATGACTAACGTAACGTAAAGGTTTTATCATAGAAAGAAATTCCTTTTCTAGAACATTCTGTTTCGACATTGTCACTGTTCACAAAGAATGGTTCTGTTATATTTTGTCTAAATAAGTGTCTAAATAATATGAAGGCAAATGCCTTACTTGATAGACGGGTAACGTAGTGACGAAACAAACACAGCGAACTATGAACTATCGATATTCGGTTTAAATGAAAATCGAACTTAACTAAAACGATTATTTATTTATTAACTAATTCAGGGGTAATTCTAGGAATGAATATAGTGTAGAGAATATAGTGATGACAAGAATAATAGTGAAATCCAATTCCAAAGTAATAAATATTTACTAACTCTCGTTCTATGTATTGGTTCTGTAGGTTATTATTGATTTGAGAAAACAGTGTTTATTATTTAAATCTATCTTACTAATATTATAAATGCGAAAGTTTAGATGGATGGATGGATGGATGGATGTTTGTTAGAGTTTGTAGCCTAAAGGGCTAAAGGGAATTCGATGAAATTTGGCATAGATGTAGAGGATAGTCTGGAAGAACACATAGGCTACTCACTTTTGTTTTTTTTTAATTCCGCGCGGACGGAGTCGCGGGCGAAAGCTAGTCATGTATAATTATGAATCTATCGATTCTAACTTCTAGAACAGTAGTAATCGCTAATATTCATATCTGATTTTACACAACCCATCCCTACTGAATTGTCAAACTAATCACCCTTATTTAGACAAACTATAATGTATGAAATTGGTAGTTTTTCAAATTACTGGTCAATCGATGGATAAACATTTGTTTTAATATTTTAGTATAGAGTCCTTGCCTAATATATTACAATACATAAATTGTACGTTTATAATGGAAAAAGTATTAATGTAATGGTTTAAGCTTATTAGAATAAAAGCCTAATAAAGCTTTCATAGAATTATTCATAGTAAAACTAAAAGAATTATACTACACTACCTTTAGACCACGACACCATCCGCGCAAAATTAAAAAAAAAAACCAAATCCGCCTATGTGTTCATCCTGCTTATCCTCTATTTCTGTGCTAAATTTCATCGAGATCCATATAGCGGTTTAGGCTATAAACTCTAACAAATTTTCGCACTTATAATATTAAGATTTGTTGTTTGCTAATTCGATGTTATTTGTATCTATTTGAATTGACGCTTGCAATCTGCAACGGTATTAAAAACTCGACCGATGGCAATGTTTTCGTAGATATAATTGTATTTATCTAAGAGTACACTACGTTAATTTATTATTTCACTAGCTGTTCCCGTGCGACTTCATCCGCATGAAATTATGAAAATTTTATTTCATTATTTACATGTGTCAAATTATCAATTACAAATCACATGACATGATGACAACCTTGCTTCCTTGATGTTGGCAGCAACTTGTGGTCCCTTTCCCACATTAGAGTTTTTATCCAAAATGTTTACCCCCTAAGTTTAATGGCGTTAAAATATATAGCCTAAAGCGTGACGCAAGTGTAGGGCTTTTTATTAAAAAAAAATAGTTATTCAAAAATATGCTATAATTGCTGACATCTTAGGCAACAAAGAAGTGTGTGTTTACGGTTTATTATAATAGTATAGATAACCTAGTCCTTGTTACAAACGTATATCCTTGTACTTTGAGTTCTTTAGAACAGACGTTCAACGACTTTAATGAGAGTAATGCAAACAAACTAAATCGTAAATCATTGCCACTGAGCGTTGCGAGATTGTTCACTTTACAACGCTCCTTATAAAAGTCATATAAACATAATCCCGCATTTTTATAATTGTTGATTAAATATTTTTAAATGTATTTACCGAATTGTTTCATTTATTTTACTTTTTATAACATAACATGGCTAACGAGCAAGCGGCCACCTGAATTCGCCAGCATGGCGAAGCGACCGCTTCCCATAGACATCCGCAATAGCGGATTCGTTGCCTACTCTTAATCGACGAAGAAGGATACAGACAAAAAAGGATATTTTCCCTTCCTATACGTCTCCTCCACCGTCAAATCCACGTTCCCTTCCCATCTAGTCCTTATAAGAAAAAAGGTGGGAAAGAAAAGCGGCTAAGGTTGGGTCTCCGGCACCACTTACAACAGACGAAAAGCTCCCACTTCCCTCCTGTCTTCATTTCTTGCGAAGATGTTAAAGAGGGATCTACTACTGTTAAAGTGATTTAGTTAAACTACTCGATGAACGGCCTTTAGTGTCCTTTAACGTCTCTGAGTGTAACTAGGGCCGGTGTTAAGGTATAACGTAGGTAATTGACCGCCTAGGGCCGATCGAAACGGCTACAGTAATCTCGCCCACGTCGCAACTAACCGAAACCAGTTCTGTCTGCGTACATTGGTAATATTTAATTTGAAAATAACTTCTGCTATTTTTTTTTATAATAAAAGAGGACAAACGAGTGGCGAGAACATCAAGGAGTCAACGACGACCATGGACATCGATGGATAGAGATAAAGGTAGATATTTTTGTAAAGAAAACTGGGGAAAGAATTAGTTATAAATAGAACATATAATTGTTATGGTATGTCATTACAACTGCTTGTAAATATAAGATTTTATATTGTGTGTGATATCGTAAATGTAAATTCCCATCATAAAGGTATAATAATATTTATCTTCATTTCTTGTGAAGAATATGTTACGCTTAATGGTTTATTTACTCTTTAAAATAGACGGGGTTTTAATAACCTATTTATTTTTGTGTTATATTCACATAGAAACCATCTTGCTAAGACGCGCTCACACCTTGACCAAACTATCGCAGAACTATTTAGTCTCGCTTTAATTCCTATGAGTTTATATGAAGGTGCAATACTGATTTTTCAGTTGTGCAACTAAACAGTTGTATACTGCGAAACAACCGACAATCGCACAACTGTTGTGCGATAGTTAGTCTACAGTGAACGTGCGCTTTAGTGTATCATAAAATTGATATTTGCTAACTTCTTTTTATTGTACTATAATTAACTAAGATAATTTTAATTTAAGTGTTGCCATGTTTTAGTTTCTTTATTATACAATTTACTAGTTAAACCTCAAGATCCGTTAGACCGTTCTTGAATTACCTTCTAACATCCATCCAAACATTCATCAATATCAGCTCACGTACGTCTTTACTGAGGGGCTCAGAGCCTACTCTGAGTTAGGGGTGTTCACCGGGAGTTCCGTCCAGGGCGGAATTTCACAGATAGGTACATTTAAATTTCTGTGCTAATATGTAGACGTCTCACGATGTATTCCTTCATCCTAAGAGCGTGTATAAATGTCGAAAATAATATCGAAACTCATTAGTAAAAACGGTAAACATCTGCTCTATTCTATTTCTTGTCTATAGCTCTCCCTTAACGAATTGGATCAAACTTTCGTATTAATAATACCAGTTAGATTAAATAGCCTATTATTTGGCTTGACTTTCTAAAGGTCAAAAAAGTTTCCTTTAGGAAAAGAGTAGCTACTTTTATTTATTTAGCTGAGAACACGTTTTGTGTATGTCCCAAGTAGTATTTGCAAGTTAGATTTGCTCGTGACTTTGTCTGAGCTGAAGTTTTAAAACTTAGCCAGTAATCTAAGTAGCTAATACTCCTAATAATTTCATCTCTGTGTCGAATTATACTCATATAAACTTCCGTAGTTATTATATTAGTGAAAAAATATAAAAAAATAGCCTATGTTTACTCACTTATGATGTAGCCTTTTATGGTGAAAGAATTTTTAGAACGACCCAGTAGTTTTTGAGTTATTTTAATACATACAAAAATACAAATGTTCTTTACATTAAAATAGATTACTGGGTATTGATAAAAAAAACAGCAAAGATAAATATTTACAAAAAGATCTTTATTTTCATTCCAATACAGATCATATAAAACATTGTATTTACAAAATTAAATAACTAAACACTTTTGGTATTTCACGCATCATTTATACTTCTAAAACTACCCACATAATCGTCTTCGTAGTTAGTTTTAACCGAATCATTATCCGATTTCGGTCTGAGATCTTCGTAGATTTCAGTAAGAGATCTGTTCTTCGTCTCCGGGACTGCGAGAGTCACATACAAAGCTGTGACGAGGCAAATCCCACCGAAGAAGTAGAAGGCGACGTGGATTCCGATAGAGTTCGCTAGCGGCTTGAAGAATAACATCTGGATGAAGTCAGCGAAAGACGCTAAACCCATAGTCAGACCCATTACTGACGCTCGGTACTGAAAGAAAGAAATATTTAAGTTAGGAAACTATTAATTTGGTTTACAGAGTCTAAGCTTTCACGTATCCTTTCATACAAGTAAATTAAATTACTAAATTGTACTGTACGTTTTTGATGTTCATTAAATTTTGTCCTCCAAAAAATGTGAAGTTCTTTCATAGTCAAATTCGTTATAAAACTCGCATCTCCAGTTTTCTCTCACAATCATGTCCTCCTCATGGTTATCGTCCTCCAAATAATTCTATCTTACATCATCTCAGTCATCACTCCCTTCTCCATCATGTTACTTTTCACGCAATCCATCCATCTTTTCCTAGGTTTACCTCTCACGCTCATAATTAACGTTCTCCTTGTTACATGTGATTCATCTCTCTTCATAACATAACCATACCACTCTAACCTTTTTCTCCTTAATTTTTACCATTGCGGCTACTCTCAAAATTCCTCTAATACACTCATTTCGTACCTTATCCATTCATGTTACATCCATCTTAACATTCTCATTTCTGCCACTTGTGGTCTTCTTTTACTATCCAACACTCAGATCAACATCATGACAGTTCTTACGACAGTCTACTTTTTTCTCACAAGTTGTTTTATTTATGGAATGTTTTAGTTTAAAACTGCCGGAGGCCAAATTTTAGTCCCTTTCCCAGTCCACCCTTTTCTTATAAGAAAAGAATTGGATGGGAAAGTGAATTTGACGGTGGAGGAGACGCATAGTATGGGGAAATGTCCTCTTTATATGCGTCTCCTTAACCGATTGAGGGTAGGCATCTGCAATTGCGGACGTATACGAACAGCGGTCGCCATTTTGACGCATTTAGGTGTTCTCTTGCTCATTTGCTACCTTATTTTATATAAAAACTTACCTTAAACGAGAATATCTCTCCCGTGAGAACCACGGAGACGGGCTGCAGACCAGCCGAGTCGCAGAAGATGCACAGACACAGCGTGAGGATGGGCAGCCAGGCCGGCGTGTACGCGCCGTAGTGCTTCGCTACGAACCACGACGCTAACGAACACATACTTAACCCTGATATTAACGCGGTAGACGTTAAAAGCGTCTGGAAAAAATATTATTCAAAATCAGACTGAGGTCAAGGAGCGATGGCTTAAGTTTTGAACACTTGGCTTGTAACATAGAAGTTCTAGTTTTGAATCATGTACCTGTGATTTTTGATTTATCGAATTTCATCTATACTAATATCATAATGAAGAAAAATCTGTATTTTTGGATTTTGATATATATTGAAATAACTCAAAAACTACTAGAAAGGTACTTTGTCTATGAGTAACATAGGCTGTTTTTGGTTATTTTCAATTTCATGCGGACGGAGTCGCGAGTAACAGTACATAAATAATTAATCCGAGGGTCTTAATATGAAAAAGAAATTGTGATGAACATATCGGTGAAGAAATTCAAAGATACACATGAAGTGAACGCAATGAAGGTCGACTATGTTCTAGTCACTAACTTAGGGTAGGCGAGCTGGTGATGATTGTGGTCCTTCAAGCCGCATAACTTAGTAACAGTGTTAGATGGAAATAAAGCCTTTTATCGTAACATTGTAACTTTTATCAGTTAGCTTATAGTATATTCGTATTTTGTAAACTTAGTTTGCTTATCAAATAAATTTATTTGAGCTCCTAATCTGATTTAATAAACAAACGGTATCGTATTTATCTTCACACGTTATAATATAAAATTTGGAGTGTTTTATATGTTAATATCTTTTATTGTAACATTTTTTTCCAAAACATACAAATTAAATAACCAAGTAATAAATATTCAAGTGCCAAAAGCCTAATAGTTACGGATTTTTGATTACGTGGTCGAGGGTTCGAATCCCGGCATTGGAATATTGAAAACCATCTAAGCACAAGCGTAGAGCTTAGTTAAAAATATATACTATATTACTTACAGATTAATTACTTTTCTAATGGTGAAAAAAATTTTAAAATCGGTCCAGTCTTTGAATTACTCCAATACATACAAAAATACAAATCTTTCCTCTTTATAAAATTCGTCGTCACCAGCTCACTATACGTCTCCACCGAGGGGTCGGAGTCTACCTAGGAGGTCTAGGAGGTCTAGGTGACTAGACCTTAGTCAACACAGTGTCGGTGGCTCAGTGGTTTAAGCACTTGACTTGTAATCTACAAGTCTTGGATTCGAATCCCGCTGTACCAATGTGATTTTCAATTTTTCGAATTTTCATATGTACATAATTTACCCGACGTTCTTACGGTGAAAGAAAACATCGTGATGCTTTATAAAATTCGTATAGGATGTATTTACCCTTCTTCCGATTCTATCAACAATGCTGGAGGCGAGCGCGGAGCCCAGCACCTGCACGAGGCCCAGCAGCATGGCTTGCTGGTTCGGTGTGAGAATCAGAGCTTTGCCTTCAGACGCCCACGTGAATATTTCCCCAGCAAAGTTTAAAACGGGAATGGCGCCGCACACCTCCCTAGCGAGCGTCGCTACCAAAGCTATGCGGAATGCGCGGAACAAAATCTTGTCTTTGACTGGAAAGAGTAAAAAACGTTTAATAGTCGGTAGAAAATAGTTATTTTCTATTTGAAATTCTATAAATATTAAATAACTATTGTTATTACAAGCATCGAGTACAAGACATTACAAGATTCAGATATGACGGCTGATAGAGATGTATGGAGCAGCACATACTGTGCCGACCCTCCGTAAGGGATAAGGGCAAGTTGATGATGATGCTTGTAATAACGATAGTATGATAGTCGAATACTTAAATGAAGCTTAAATAGTTTGCTTCCAATTTGGAATTTAAGCGAGACATTGTGTAGCTTTTGCCCGCGATTCTCTGCATGGAATTAAAAAAAAAGTTAGTAGCCTATTAGTTCTTCCAGACTATGTTCTACATCTATGCTAAATTTTTTTTAGATCCATTCGCCGTTAAGCCTATAAACTCTAACAGACATTAATCTATCCATCCATCCATTCATCTTTTACATAAAATGTCGTTAAAGTATTCGTCGTTTAAAAGCTTCGTTAGTATTGTTTTCTGAACTTGTTATTATTTTTATTACATCTGTGTCTGATTGTCCAATTGTGGAATTTAAATCAATATTTTGCACATTACTGTTTGTGCAATTTAAAATTGTGATGTTCTTAATAGACCAGAAGGTTGAGTTGTCCTCATCAATTATCACACCGTACTGGACCCGGAAAGTGACATATTATTTGTAATAATTCGTAACACGTGCTTCTAAAATAAAACGTCAATGCGAAATAAAGGCACCTACACACTTGAACTTACTAATAGAAGTTACTAAATTCCATTCAGAATAATTTAATGAGCACTTTACATATTTACACATTAAATCTACGATTAGGTTAACACTAAAATGATTATAAGTGCGTTGGTAAAATTTGCGTGAATTAAAATTATACACGACTAGCTGTTGCTAGCGACTTCGTCCGCGTGAAAATTAAAAAAAAAACATAGCCTGTGACACTGATAACGTAGCTTTTTAATAGTGTAAGAATTTTCGAAATCGGAACAGTAGTTTTTTGAGTTATTTCAAGACATACTAAAATACAAATCTTTCCTCTTTAAAATACTAACTAGTATAGATTACTCAACACAAGTTTTTTGTACACTTTTTGGTAATATAATAAAAGTTATTCGTATTAGTATGTTAACGCCAGTGGACACGTGTCTTAATGTAAAATGAATTCGGCGCAGACCAATACACCTCGTTGACCTTAAGATCGCGGCCGCGTCTTGATAGATCGCAATAACGGTCGCTAATGTCTATGGGTTTTTTGCGCTTTCAAATTTTATATTACGGTCTGTCCTAGCTTTGCACATGTTTATATTTTAGCTTTGACGCATAGTGTGATACGAAAACATCTGTCCTAATAATAAAAAGAGAAGTTTGTATTTTTATATGTATTGAAATAACTCAAAAACTACTGGTCCGATTTTAAAAATTCTTTCACCATTAAAAAGGTAATTTATCTGTGAGTAACATAGGCTATATTTTTTATTAATTTTTAACTTCACGCGGCCGAAGTGGCGAGTTTCAGCTAGAAGTTAATAAAGGAATAATGCATTATATTACTAGTGGTAGTAATAAGTCAAGTAGTTTTTGAGTTTTTTCCGTATATAAGTTAAGTTGTAGTGAATACTTTTTAAATGTCATGGCCGTTTATCATTTTGTTCGTATTTGAATACAATTAGTTCAGTGTTCCTTAAGCTGTTAAATTTGCATAATTAAATTTTAATGAACCAAAGTCTTATCTTGTGACCTAAATTATTAACGAATCAATGAAAGCATTATTAAACCAAAGGACAGTTTCTATTTATTCCCGTAAAGAAACGTCATCGCTGTCGTTATTTCTTGAAAATATTGTAATACTAGCTTTCGCCCGCGACACCGTACGCGTGGAAATAAAAAAAACAAAAGTAATTAGCCTATGTGTTCCTTCAAACTATCCTCTACATCTCTGCCGAATTTCATTAAGATCCGTTCAGCAGTTTAGGCTACAAACTCTAACAAACATCTACCCATCTAAACTTTCGCATTTATAATATTAGTAAGATTTACTGATACAGGGTTATTGGTAATTAGACGTATTCCCGCTAGGAAGTTACTTACTTTTGTTTTTTTTAATACCACGCGGACGGCGTCGCGGGCGAAAGCTAGTCAGTAATAACTTATACATCAGAAGTATGTAAGTATTACGTCATCGGGCAAATCCATAACGTTTTTCTCAAGATGACGGAATTGTTCGACACAATAATTACTTCGCGTTACCGCAGAATAAACAAAAACCGGCGTCCTCTTCCGAAACTCGTTTAACGCATTTGTGTCAAATATTCGTTAGTAAAACCGTATTTGGTTTAACACGCTATTGATAAATGGTGCGACACTTCTTGGTATATCTGATGTTTATGTTTTACTAAGTTAAAGAGGACCTTTAGTTTTCTTTATAAAGTCGGAACTTGTTTGCAAAATACAACCTCTTTGGCTGACAAGAAGGATACAGCCAAAGAGGTAGCAAACTGGCCACCGAGACTTTTACATGGTTTGTTAGAAAAAAGATGTAGTAAAAAGCGTATAACGGCGAGATTTGATCAATACAGTTTTCAGTTATTTATTTTAAATCTCACTAATATTATAAATGCGAAAGTTTAGATGGACGGATGTTTGTTAGAGTTTGTAACCTAAACTGTTGAACGGATTTCGATGACATTTGGTGTAGATGTATATAGTCTGGAAGAACACATAAGCTACTCACTTTTTTTGTTAATTTCACACGGACGGAGTCGCGGGCGAAAACTAGCATTTAAATAAGTTTAAAAACAAATATGTTTAGTTTGTATTTTTGTCTGCCGCGTTTTCGGTGACAAGTTAAACATAAATATTTAAAAAAGAATTTGGTTGATTAAGGCTTGTTTCATATTTGGTTGTTTTACAATTATTACAACTTAACAAGATGTGGACCACGGCTTCGTCCGCGAGGAATGTAACAAAGTAACAATCTTCTTGACTATGTTCTACATCTATGCTACATTTTAACAAGATACGTAGACCTGTTCTCTAAATACGTAACAATTTATAGTATTTAAAGAAGATGACAGAATTAGATTAGCATGTAATATAAAGTTCAAGTAAATTCTAGTATTAATTTACATAAAATGGAGAAATAATCATACTTACATATAGCTTTTAATAAAAACTTGCTACTTTCTTCATCGTTCTTCTGTTCTATCTTGATAACATCTAATTCTTCTTGTATTTTAGCGTCGTCTACTCTTCTGCAGCGCAACCACGCGAGAACCCGCGCTGCTTCCTGGAATGTCACTCTTGTATACTTCCCATTCCTATCATATCTTTATACGTAAATAGGGGGAAGGAAAAGTGAATTACATTAAGACCTCCAGCAAAGTAGCTTTTTAAAAGTGAAAGAATTTTAAAAATCGGCCCAGTAGTTTTTGAGTTATTTCAATACATTTGTATGTATATATAAATTATATTAATTTGTATGTAAATATAAATTTTTCCTCTTTATAATATTACTAGCTTTCGCCCGCGACTCTGTCCGGGCAGGCATTAAAAAATAAAAGTGAGTAGCCTATGTGTTCTTCCAGACTATCCTCTAAGTCTATGCAAAATTTCATCGAAATCTCTTCAGCCTTTTAAGCTACAAACTCTAACAAACATCCATTCATCGATCCAAACTTTCGCATTTATGATATTAGAAAGATTAGTAAGATTGTAGTTGTATTTATCTCAAGAGAAGCAGGAATAAATTTCTAGTCAATTGTAAAATGTATATTTACCTCATCGTTACCTTTCTTGACCAAATAGGAAGGTGATTCCGGCATAACCATGAAGAGGACGATGTGAAAAGCGGGCAATGCCAGACAAACCCATAGTATGGTTCTATAGCTTAGTATATCACCAATTACGTATAGGAACAGGTTACCCGTCGTGTGGAATAATATTACCTAGAAAATATCATCAGCATCACCATACACGTCCCACTAAGGTAAACTCCCTACAAAATATTATAATTTGCAAATCAAGAAAATCTTTATCTACCCGTCTTTATTCTACTTCCGTAGTCTCTGTGAATCAGATTTCACAGACACTGCGGGACACTTCGGTTTCCAAATTAATTAATCTTCGGTCTCAGTTATAATTCTCTTAATGTGTCCTTTAACGAAATCCATCCATCTCTTTCTATACCACTATATGTACCCACGGACAAATCAGTTATATGGCCATCATCATCTTTCTTCTTATCCTACTCATACATACGTCATCTCCTTACTCTTACTTACCTTGTTACTCCTTTCTTCATGTCATCTTCCAAGATGTGAATACAATCCATCTCTTTCTATGTCTACCTCTACTGGTGTACACACTCATAACTAACGTTCTCCTTGTTATGCGATGCATCCCTCATAACACGCCCCCATGCTAACCTTTTATTCCTTAATTTCTACCACTGGGGCTACTCTTAAACTCCCTCTAACATACTCATTTCGTATCTTATCCATTCGTGTTAACCAGTGATATGGTTTTTACTTGATTTGAGTACAGATGTAAATTGTGTTTTGTTTATAATTTCAATAAAAAATAAACCATTGTGTTGATTTTATCTTTCAATTTCATCCTTCTTCTAATTAAAAGAGTTGAAGCAATCTTTCATCTAACTTTTGGCTCATTTTATGCAGGGTCGATACTATAAGGTTTGGTCTTACAAATCTAGCAGTCGGTCATTTCCTAATTAACTATATCTCTTTACCATCCATTCTCAATAATATAAAAATACAAGCATCTAGAAGTAATTTGTAGGCAATCATAATCTACTAAGTATTTTTACCAGTCACGTTATTTTAGCTAATGACAAGTCACGTGAACCACGTTCATTTTACGTTCTAATACGTAAATAGCTGTGTGGGATTCATTCGAGGTGAGGTTTTTCAAACATTTTTACTGGTAATAATAAATGTTGACTCACCAAGCATCCTAAAGCTCCTCGTATGTGGTTTTCGCTAATCTCCTTCGTGTAAATTGGACAAGTGACGTATGCTCCAGCCATAGTTATACCAACTAAGGCTCTTGAGAGGATCAAAGCCCATGTTTCTATAGACACTAGTAATAGAATCCAACTTACCTGAAACAATAGGAGAAATACAATACAAAAATATCTATCAATTATATGTAATCAAGATGAAGGTGGATTTTTTTTATAAAATAATGCGGCAAACGAGCAAGCGGCCACCTGAATCCGCAAAATGGCGAAGCAACCGTTGCCCATAGGTGCGTTGCCTATCCTTAATAGACAGAAAAAACTTACATGAAGATTTACCATTCTTATGTGTCTCCTCCACCGTCAAATCCACGTTCCCTACCCCTCCTATTCTTATGAGAGAAAGGGTAGGAAGGAAAAGGGACTTAAGTTGGGCCTCCAAAAGGAGATGACGATGTCAATTTTATTCATCTGTTTTCATCAAATATGATTATGTAAGTACTGATGTCAATTGGGGTTCCACAAATGACGATTTGTGGAGCAGAAAGAACGAAGCAGTGGCCGACTTCAGGTTGACAGTGATGGTGATGATAATGATGATGTGATAACGTCAAGACCATATTAAGAAATCGCTGCGTGTTTGAAAATAATCACAATTCCTTCATAGATCATAACGCATCAAGACATTCTTCTTTACCGTATTTTACGTGATATTATCGCAAAATCTTCTTTAATTTTTTAACAGAGTTAGAGCCCGCTTTAACATTTTCGCACTGCAGGGCCGGCTCGCCCCCAGTAATACCACGACCACACAGAAAACAGGCGTGAAATGGAAGCTATTCCGTGTTTCGTCTGATGAGTGTGCCGGAGGCCTTATTTTAGTCACTTCCTTTCCACCCTTTTCTTAAGAGGTAAGAATTGAAAGCAAAAGTGGATTTGACGGTGGAGGAGACGCATATGAAGGGGAAATGTCCTCTTTATGTGCGTCTCCTCCTCCGTCAATGAAGGGTAGGCAACGCATCTGCAATTGCGGACGTTTATGGGCAGCAGTCGCTTTCCATTTCGGTGGATTCAGGTGGCCGCTTGCGAGTTTGCCACCTTATATTAAAAAAAATACTCACAGCGCTGATTCCTGATATAAACAGTATTAATAGTTTTCTTCCTAATTTATCTCCGGCGTATGCGAGCAGCACGTCTGCGGGAATGCACACTAAATATGCCGCAGCGGCCATCCATGATACCTGTTTCAAATTAAAATTATGTTAACAAATTTTTATTACATAGATTTTGAATTTTATTTAACGATCTGATATTACGTAAACTTGAATATTTATAGTCTGCGCACATTTATAACTAAACTATCGGACAACTGTTTAGTCTCGCTTTATTTCCTATGAGCTTCTATGGAGATAACACTACTCGAATTTTAATTGTGCAACTAAACAGTTGAATGGGCTTCAAAACAATCGACAATCGCACAATTGTTGTGCGATTGTTTTGTCAAAGGTGTACGCCCGCTCTTACTTTAGTTTTCTATCTTACGTCTCTCTCTTACATTTACATCTATATTTGAAATTTTGTAAACATGTAAAAAATATACTTTTAGCAAATTTAACATTGTTGCATTGCCAAAGTCGTGTTTTTGTCAACTTGTCATTGAATTATAAATAACATCTTTCAAGGTCACGATAATTCACTGTTTGAGCTACTGATTGTGTACAACATTTTTTATTAGCTAATTGCCACAACAAGCAAGTCGTTAATATTAAGTGATTCGACCATAGACAGGACTCGGCAAAGAGATTCAAAGCTTATAGAGTGGTCTTTTTTCTATAAAAACTTTACCTAATATAGTAGCGTTAAACTGGACCTGTTACAAGTCGTGGATTGCGAAAGGGCCAATGATCTAAGCTAGATCTAGGCAGGGGGGAGGGCAAGCATTCTTTATACCAAAGAAAATGTAAATGAACATATGGTCTTGGATATCTTGTGGATGATTTTGTGTATTTAACAGTTTTTAGATTACAAAGACTTTTGGCCACTCTATAACTTTGTAAGTTCAATGCTTTTATTTCAACCATTGGCTCTTTGAAGGACTACTTAAGAATTTTAATTTTTATACAGTAAAGTAAATGAACAAGCGACAATCTGAATTCGCCAAAATAGCGAAGCGATGTTTGTAGACAATTTTATATCAGTTTGTCTTTAGTCGCTCGCACATAATAAGGAGATATTCTATGAATAACTACATACTTCTGATTCAGTGAGAGGCACGCCTTTGGGTGAGTCTTTAGACTGCAGCAATAGGGTCATCGGTGACATCCATCCGATGCTTGCACCGTACACGAATACGGGAAAATTTACTGCAAACAAACAATACAAAGCTAGTAAACGATTTTTTTATAAATATGCTTAAACATTATGATTGCATCTGACTGTGGCTTTTTTATTGCTAAAATTTTATTCGGTTATAAATCGGAATAAAATTGTTCCGAAAAGAACGCGAGACAATATTTTACTACTGAAAATTTTCCTTATAATGTTATTGTAAAATCTTTTCTAATTTAGATATGAAAAAAGAAACAATATTGCATCATTGAATTATATTTTTATTAAAAAACCAGTTCGATTTAATAACAAAAGAATCTGATTTTATAATTGACATAAAATCCAGTCTTAATTTGAATTCACCGAACATTTTTACGATCGTCGCAAATTATATCAAAATGTTGAATAACTACGGAACATGTTTAAAAGTATTTGCTTTTTAAAATATGAGAAAATGTTATATTAATATCAACTTGTTTGTAAAACATGATTTTGCGTCACATGCATCAAACCGGTATCACTAACGTCCGGTAGACCTTTCGATCATACTAAAAATTGGAATAAAGAAAAACTGGGGTTCAAGGGCATGAAAACACGTTCTTGTTGATGTGGCGTGCAAAAATCAGCCTGTATGTACAATGCCTAGATAAATTAATTAAATAAATAAAAAAATTAAACTCTGGCAAGACATCGAACATCATTTTACTAAGTTTTATTTAGGTATAGAAAAAATTCAGTTTTTTAGTGTCAAAATAACGGCAATTTGTGAATGGATTCGATGTATAAATCGAGTCTTTACAATTTGTTTAGGAAAAATATAAATAGGCGGAGTATAATTTACTGGTGACATTATGAAGACGCATCAATTGCTTTGCTATGTATTGACGTGGACGAATTCCAAGTAAAAAATATACTTCCAAGAAAGATGTATCGAAGTTTTTTATGTTGATAACATTTTGAGTATGAATGTTTATTTTTCCTCTAAACAAACTTTTAAAAGTCCATTCCTCTAAAAGAAATACAAGTTCAAAATAATAACTTCCTCGAAACTAATTCATTCCAAAGAAAATATATAAAAATCTACGTCAAAAGAAAGAGGTTATGTAGGCAGTAATTAAATTTTTGACATATTTATGAGTGTTCTGTTATATTTATTAAATTTAATTGAATGTTACATTTCCTACCAGTTTCGTAAAAATATCTGGATAAATGTGAACTAGTACTATCTTGTTTCATAACCTCTATATTCTTAACCACAATATTTACATTACAATAACAAAAGCACACAATTACGTTGTTTCTTTCGCATCACATCTTGCCGTCATTTGTTTCGCGCCTAAAATTCTCTTTGTTTTTTATTATGTTTTTTAATTTAGTGCATTATCGATGGCCAGTGTTGACATAAAAGTGATTCATAAATACAAATCTAGTTCTCATAAATTACGTTACAATTTTAAATTATTATCCTTTTGTTTTTAAATAATGTAATTACTACAAAAATGCTACGCGTATTAAATTAGCGCCATCTTGCGCCGCGACACTGTCCGCGTGTAATAAAAAAAATTAAAGTGTTTCCAGACTATCTTCTACACTAAATTTCGTCGAAATCCGTTTAGTCGTTTTGGATTCAAACATTCATGCATCTAAACGTTCGCATTTATAATACAAGTATGAAGTATGATTACAGTAATTTAAATAAGTTCTCATATATCTTTGACCAAATCTGTATAAACTTCGAAATGTATGAATTATTTTTAATAAGTTTTAATGGCTTCGTATATTACCAATCTGTTTGACAGTATGTACGCGTGTAGACTGTCGCTGACGTCACAGAACAGCAATCAATTTTAATAGCTCTTGACATGAAACAATTGAATTATTTTACGCGTTCACATCAATTTGAAGAAATTAAAAAACAATAACATCGATTAACTCCAAGAGTTAACTAAGTTCTTGATGAATCGTTTAAATTAAGTTATTAAAGGAAAACGCACTTAAGTAACATTAACATATAGACTATAGTTAAATTGTTTGTCTTAACTAGCTTAGCGTGGAGTTGAAAAAAAGTTGTGTTCTACCAGACAATCCTCTACGCTAAATTTCATCGAGATCCGTTCAACATTTTAGGTTATAAACTCTAACAAACATCGATCTAATATTTCGCATTTATCAAATTAGTAAGAATGAATGTGGATGACTACAAAGGAAGAGGAAGACCGAAGAAAGTATGGATTGTATGAAAGAGGATATGCTTAAGAAAGGAGTGAATTCTATGACAGCTGATAGAGATGTATGGAAGAGCAGCACATACTGTGCTAACCCTCCGTAAGGGATAAGGGCAAGTTGATGAAGATGAGTAAGTTATGTAATTTATCTTAATGTTTACTTAAGATTCTTTAGACAAATAGAACTTAAAGTAAAAGATGAAAAATAAAATGCGGTCATTGTAAGAAGGCAAAAAAAAACGAATCTTCCCTTTTTAATTAAAGTCCGTTAAAAACAGGTCAAAGAACTTATTTTACAGTTGAATTTAAAAGGAAACATGTTTTAAAGATTAAAAAAAAAAACAATATCCGTACATGTATTAAGGTACATAAAGTAATTAATTATTAGTAAATAAAACTGCGAAGTTTTATGTAAATTACAAATTCTTTAACACAAATTTGCAATATTTAAAATTCCTAACAATAATAAAACTACACACGTGAGATGACGTATTCATAGAAAATGTAAATTTTAGCAAAGAATTGAGGAAAACAATTTAAAAGCATACGCAGTTCTTTATCTACAAATTATTTAAAATAACCTCACAAATTAGTAAAACATGTTTTTATATGGAAAACCACAATTTTCGGTTAGAAAGCAGTAAACCATAGATTATTTAATTAAAAAAAAACTTAGTAGTCTATGTATTCTCCCCGTCTTTTAACACTTAAGTACTTATAATATTAAGATGGAAAAAGTAATCTGGAGGCCTTTTATTGGGAAAAATTCTCTTAATATTGTCATTACAAAATGACATTTTGATCATCGTCTCTGGAAGTCAAACTTGTATGACACACCTTTTATAGGTTACATGTTATCGTCCACGACTTCGTACGGAATTAAATAAACAAAAGTCAACTATGACTTCTTCCAGACTATGCTCTATATTTATGTCAAATTACATTGAGATCAGTTTAGGTTACAAACTCTAAGAAACATCCATCCATCTAAACTTTCGCATTTATAATATTAGTAAGACTTTGTACTTAATGGACATATTGTTTATGAATTAATACATTTTGAATAATAAAAGAAAAGTGTTAAATAAGGAAATTAACTTTAGCTCAAAAACATTCGACGTAAAAAAATCTAAACAACATATTTACTGAATTCTGAGGTTCTTATTAACATAACATTCACATTTACAGTTATAATATTATCCAAAAACAACGACTACAATCTTCTGCATTATTTTAAAAGAACATACGTTGTATTAATATTAACAAAAAATTTATAGAATTTTTAAAAATACTATCAAAATTACATTTGTATAACAAACACTGTGTATATTTAAAATTAGATAAACGTCCTTCCAAAAACCCCAGAAGTAAGGCCACAGAAATATTAGCAAACTAAATCTATAAAAAATCACATGACATTTAAACACATAAAAATTACACATTAACTTATACACTAACATAACTATAAAAAATCACTTACTTAAAATCGCACATAATATTTGATTAAATTTACTGCCTTCAGGAAACAATGTATGGAATTTCTTCATTTCACAGCTTCGATACACAAAATTCAAACAATTTAAAATGCCATATTCTTGTTAAATAGCTTAAAACTAGACGACACTTGTTGGATATCTTTCGCGTACTGAATAATTTGTTACTCGTCGATTTGCTTTTGTTTATTCAAGTGTACGCTGACATAAGGGCGCGTTTCCACTGACACGTTCCGTACAACCCGTTAAGCTCGTTTGATGTTCAAACTAACCAGTTCCACTTTCATTCTTCGCAAATTATTAATGCGAACACAGATAAATATAAGAATACAAGAGGTTCGTTCCCTTCGTAAACATTTTTGAAATACTTCTACACTATTGTAGGGGTAAAGTAGCAATCTTAAGGTCAAAGACTTTAAAAAAATAAGAATAATAAGAAGTAATTAAGAAAATAAAAGTAAAACTCAATGATAACATAGCTTTTTAATGGTACAGGAATTTTTAAAATCGGACAAATAGTTTTCGAGTTATTTCAATACCTCCAAAAATACAAATCTTTCCTTTAGTATAGACAAATCTTTTGAGATTTCTCAAAAACCTACACGTATTTGTAAATTTACTAGCTTCTAATATTATAAATGCGTAAGGATGAATGGATGTTTGTTACTACTTATCTCTGGAACGGCTTAATTAATCTCCTTGAAATTTGCCATACATGTGTAACATAGGCATAAGCTTCTCAGTTATTTTTATCCCTCGCACAGAGTCGCGTTCAACAGCTAGTATAGCTGTTTATTTTGTTGCGTATTAGATACTAGCTATTTTCGTAGGGCTTCATCCACATAAATTATAAAAAGTATTTTATTGTTTACATTTGTCAAATTCTGAATTGCAAATGTCAATATTACCGTTACCATAATCTTGCTTTCTTAATGTTGGCAGCTCGTATCGTATGGTCTCTTTCCCACATTAGGGTTTTTATCCAAAATATTTACCCCCTAAACGTGAAAATACATAACCTAAAGCATGACGTAAGTGTATGGGTTTTTATTTAAAAAAGGATTATTCAAAAATATGCTGTAATTGCTGACATCTTAGGGAACAAAGAAGTGTTTGTTTACGCTTTATTATAATAGTATAGATTGTGAACTAGTGTTTATGTTCGAAAGAGTTGATATAGGCAATACACGTATACCTTTCTTCATTAGAATGTACCAATGTTATTCAGTTTAATGCTGTTACTTTCACGAAGCTTAGCTTATATGATAGTCTAAAGATATTTTTCGCGTCTGATTTGTTAATGAACGTGGCCTTTGCAGTTTAAAAATATCTTGAGGCGTTGCCAATACGACGGTAGTACATGTTAAAAGTAATATGAATCACTCCAAAAATATATTTAGATGCTGTTTAGGTAAACGTGGTTTAACACTTTGACCCCTGATATTATATTGATTGATGTTATGGACGTCAAAGTTGTTTTTTAACACCGGGATGCTTTCGCTGTAAACACATTAGATACTAGTTTTCGCCCGCGACTTCGTCTATACCATCCCTTTCCATTAAAAACGATGTTTTACTCTATATTGTATAGTTACATTCTTTGTTACATGGATTTAAAACAAGTATTAAGTTTTATTTTTTGTTTGTTTAAGCGTGATACAGCGCTAGTTAATATTATAATTAGCAAGTTAATATTATGTAAATGTCATGAAAATGTGTGGAGCAATAAAAAAAGACATTGACACATGTAACGAGTACAGTCGATAAGGTTGTTGCCACTGTTTACTTTGTTACACTACAAGATGTTGCAATTAACTTTTTAAAATTAACTAAACATTTTTATTTGTCGTAAAATCTGTACTAATATTATAAAGCGTAAACACACACTTCTTTGTTGCCTAAGATGTCAGCAATTACAGCATATTTTCGAATAAGTCTTTTTTAAATAAAAAGCCTTTTACTTACGTTCAGCTTTAGGCTATACATTTTAATGCCATTAAACTTAGGGGTAAATGTTTTGGATAAAAACCCTAATGTGGGAAAGAGACCATAAGTTGTTGCCAACATCAAGGAAGCAAGCGAGACTGCCATGGTTTAACATCATTGTGACATTTGCAATTGATAATTTGACAAATGTGAACAATAAAATGGAATTTTAATAATTTGATAAAGTCGCATGGGAACAGTTAGTAACAAATAAAAGTTGATCTTATTTCTTTTACCACGTCTTTTATGTAGTTGTTTCGTTACTATGTATCTATAGAAGGGCTTGATATATCTCGATGGAATTTGGTACAGATGTAGAACTGTCTGAAAGAACTCGATATGTTACTTACTTATCTTTATTTTAATTCTGCGCGTTGATTCGCGTGCAACACTTACTTAGGCTTAAAGTTAGATAAATTTGACTAAACTTAAGATCATTTCAAAAGTAATAGTATTAGGTATAATTAGATAATTGAAAGGTTTTGAAAAATTACGATCAGTTATGGCTTGTGTTGCCTCTTCTAATTAGTGGCCACTGCATTTTAAAAATGTAATTTCTCTTAGTAACGCTCTTAATTACTTAGCACTTTATTGTAGAGTTACCACGATCAATCGATGCTATAGGACTTTTATATTGGTTTGAGAACTTTGAATTTAATTGCAGTGGTAATTCGTTAAGAAATTCGAATTATATTTTAAAGTATTTATTCAACTTTTATTGATCATCCTGTTTAGATAATTACAGAGGCTTAAGTTATTTGTAATATTACACTTTTGGATATATTTCAGATATGTATGTTTATGGATATAAAATTATATCAGACTTTATATTACGTTTGTCTTAGAGTTAATTAGGCTTTGCTTTAACGATAAGAATATGTATTATTTAATCATATAATAAAAGCTTTATGTAAATAGTTTTTACTATTTCTGTTTTATAATCCATTAATTTATGTAAATAAACAATAAAGGCTTGTAACTAAGTGCGATTTAGACAAGAATTCACAAATTCTGTGTATTTGTCTGCTTACATACTCCTTTCTAATGAATTGATGTAAAAAATGTGACCACAATTTACCTACTGAATTAATATTTTAAAATCAAGACAACGTCAAAATGACATTGTGATATTTTGATAACAATAACCTGAAAATATGAACCATGCTTATTTAGCTATGTCTTTCAATAAATAATTCACATTGCAATAAACAATAATCTAACATACCGGGATGAAAAACAAGTAAGTAACAATTAAGGGGGCAATTTCATTAGTTTTTTACAGATTGCGGGGAGTCCCCGCATGCGGGCCAATAACTAGTGGAGACGGCACTCATACGAGTGCTTTAGAATTACTGAACAGATATCTCATATAACGTATAATGTATAACGGTCGATTGACCATTCTGACAGTGGTAGTGCCCGCTTTAACATCATAGCACTGCAGGGCACGCCCGGTGTAATACCACGACCACACAGAAGACTGGCGTGAAATGGAAGCAATTCCGTATTTTCGTCTGATGAGTGTGGTGCCGTAGGCCTAATTTAAGTCCCTTTCTCTTTACCACCCTTTTCTTATAAGGAGAGTTTGGGTTTGGGAAGGGGAAGTGGATTTGACGGTGGATGAGATGCATAGGAAGGGTAAATGTCCTCTCTATGTGCGTCTCCTCCTCCGTCGTATAATGGTAGGCAACGCATCTGCAATTGCGGATGTCTATGGGCAGCGGTCCCTTCGCCATGTTGGCGGTTTCATGTGGCCGCTTGCTCGTTTGCCACCTTAAGTTATAAAAAAAAAGAGCCATCAAGATCTGTGACCACGACCAATAGAAGGCCAATGGCGTAGTGTTTTGCGTTTTGTTGATTATTATGAGTTCTTTAATGCTTTTTCAAAGCTTTTCTTGTAAAGTTTAACTAATGATAATTTAAATTACTACTGTTATTTTAGTTTAGTAAAATTGTAGATATTTATTGTTGTGGATGACATACAAATAACGTTTGTTCCATTTTAGAAAAGAAGATATCTAAGAATGATTTGGTTACTATGGGTTTTAGCATTTTTATTTGAAGTCGGTAAGTGTCAAAACTAATAATCTTACTTCTTACTAATATTATAAATGCGAAAGTTTAGATGGATGGATGTTTGTTAGAGTTTACAACGTAAACTGCTGAACGGATGTCAATGAAATTTGGCACAGATATAGAGGATAGTCTGGAAGAACACATAGACTATAAACTTTTGTTTTTTTGAACTCTACGTGAACGGAGTCGTGGGCGAAAGCTAGTTTATTATACACTAGTTGTTACCCGAGTCGTTAGCGTGAAATAAAAAAAAATACAGCCTATGTTACTCACAGATAAATTACCTTTCTAATGGTGAGAATATTTTTATAACCGGCCCAGTAGTTTTTGAGCTATTTCAATACATACAAAAATACAAATCTTTCCTCTTTATATAAGTGTAGATGTTAAAGAAGAAAATTCCGTACTTAATTTCGTTTGGTTACAGACGTTACGTGTCTTTAGTTATTTTATTTTATTTCCAGTGCTTATTCTGATGTACAACGAAGCATTAAAAATGGAGACTTTGTACGCGTTTACGAAAAACGTTGAACGCTTAGTGCAGGAGTTGTCGGTTTATTTCGAGCCCTGCCATTACCCTATTGACTTGATAGCGCGGTTATGCACTCACAAAACTCTTAAACAAAATTAATTTATATAGTTCTGTGTAAGTGTTTTCAATAGAATGACATGTTTTTGGATTGGGTTCTTTTTAACAGCGTTAAATGGATTTGATTTGAATTTGCAATAATAAATCTTCAATAATTCTTTATTCCAATGTTTCTGGCATATTAAGGTAAAAACCTTTTTATTTTATTTTAGTCGACTGTTTTTGTTAAAATAAATACGGAGAAGAAATTGTTAATTTTTTCTCAGAAATCTAAATTAAAATTCGCGAGTTTTATTTTTTCGTTAATAGATGGCGGTTTTATAAAAATTAAACTCTAACGGATAAGGGCAAAAGCTTTAAAATATAACAGTGACTTGGGAATTTCATTACTTTAGTATTCAATATATTTGAAATAAAACAACTGTATTCATAAATTATTATATTTTATAATAGAAATTGCTGAATTGCATAGAAACTAAAACCTTTGCATTGACAACATCGGTACATAACTAATACAGTTTCTACGAACAAAGCTACTTGAATATTACAGATTTTTTAAAAACGAAGTAAATATTAAATCTATTACAAGATAATACTTTAGTTTTTTTATAAGTATCAAAATCTGATACATTTCCAATTACCTTATATCTAACCGAATAGTAATTTCCACCATACATTTTACTGATTTTTAAAAAATAATTAAAAAACACAAATAAAATAATAGTGGAAATTAATATAAATATTTTATTTACATTCACTTAAATATATTTATTAAATAGAGCAATAAATATTCCAAACTTAATTTTAACCTAAAATCACTTAATTTTTAACTTAGCAGATCTGAATTGATTATTTTTAGCAAATTTTACGTATAACAGAATATTTCGTTTTAATTATTTTATTAGAAGTCAAAAATTTAAAAACACTTTATAAAGATAGCATCTTAATTGATTGAATAGATTATTGCTTAGTTTAAAGAATTCTTTATTTTAAATTTTCAAAGTTGATTTCGTTTATTTTTTTTAATTTAATTTAACTATAATGACGTCACCTTGTTGTACTAACTCGATTAAAGGAAGACAGTTTCGAATAAAAAACAAACATACAGACGAAAGTCCCTCCTTTTGGGAGGTCGGTTAAAATTGCTTTTTATCGTTGGCACTAATATCGAGAGTATTAAAACACAATGAAAGCGAGAGGAGCTGAGGTGTCAGCGCCATCTATCGGTAGAGGTAGTTCTTGGGCTCCTCCGCGATGGGCTCCGAGCACGTGCCGAGGTACTTCAGCTGGACTACACTTCTGGAATTATTTAAACTGAATTAGTTAATCTAATATTATTAATGTGAAAGTTTAGATAGATGTTTTTTAGTTTGTAGCCTAAACTGTTGAACGGATTTCGATGAAATTTGGCATAGTTGTAGATAGTCTGGAAGGACACATATGCTTTTCACTGTTTTTTTCTCCACGCGGACGAGGTCGTGGGCGAAAGCTAGTGTTTAAATAATTACATTTAGGACTTATGACTTGTTTCCCCATGTTAAACATACATTAGTGTTTTTGGTTCAATAACTTCAAATGCGTTGAACAATGTAACTTGAGTTTTACAAAATAATGCCAGTTGCAAAATATATTATAATTTCATCATAACAATTTTCCATATATATAATGTTATACAAGTCTGGAGTATATAAAATACTATCTGTTGGTCCAGGCTTCGTATGCAGGAAATTAAAAAATAGTAAAAAAATCAGCCTGTTTTTCTCAGTTACCATTGTAATGGTGAAAGAATTTTTAAAATCATCTTAGAAGTGTTTAGAAGAATCAAATAGTCCTTCCTTATAAAGAAAGTGGAACGGGAAGGAACTAAAATTGGGCCTCCGGCACCACATTCATCAAACATTTTAAACATATTTTCACGCCATTAAACTTAGGGAGCAAATATTTTGGATAAAAACCCTAATGTGGGAAAGAGACCATAAGATATTGCCAACATTAAGAAATCAAGTTGGCTAAGGTTTGCCATGTCATGTCATTTTGACATTTGCTATTGATAATTTGTCAAAAGTATACAATTAAATAAAATGTTCATAATTAAATGCGGATGTAGCCGCAATGGAACAGTGTTAGTATGTATTACCTGGAGCGGCAGTTCTCCATCTCGAGGAAGCACCTGTTGGAGTAGGTCTTGTCGTCGGTGCCGCAGACGGGGTCGTACTCCGGCGGGCAGACGCGCGCGCAGCCGGCGTACTGGAAGCGCGCCAGGCAGCGCTTCAGCGGCACCACGTACACGTGCTTGCTGCAAACCGTAATAGCTTTTAGAACTCGTAAAAGTTAGGTATTTTAGAGATTTTAGCTGAAGAAACTGTATTTTCTTGTACTACTGATAAAACTAGTACTGTTTGTTTTACATTTAGTGAATTGATAAAATTGCTTGATTTACATCTTGCACTTTAATTTCCGTTTCCGCCGAAACACTTTATTTTTCTTATTTTTTTAATCTTAACGGCCAGTGCGATATTTTTGCAACCGTTTTTATTTAAAATTAAAATATATTTACAATTGTTATCAGCGCCATCTATTGCCAATTAACCAAATATGAAATTAAGCAAACCAATGAGCAAGTCAAATTATTTTTATATATAACGATTGCTAACATTAATCTGAATTTTAGTATTTAATTCAAATTCCGTTTAATATTGAATTTACTATTTAATATAAATATGCTTTTAATATTAATTTTAAACATATAAGAAAACGAACATAAACTATTATCAGCGCCATCTATATATTAGTTATCGCTTTACCCAATATGACAAAGTAATATTTTCCCTAGGCGTAATTTACAAAATTCTTATTTTTTATTTACAATTTACTATTATTACTAATATTTTTTACAGTTATAATAAACTGTAAAAAAATATTAAATTAAATGATTTTTTAAACAATTGTAATCAACGCCATCTATTATCAAGGAACAAATATTTACATCTGGTATCTACGCCATCTATTATCAATTATTGTAACCATCAACAATCATTTTAATGTCATTGGATCAGTCTGTACGAAGTAAGCAGCAGTTACCCGCAGTTGTC